GACGCAAAATGTATTATGTAAATTTTCATCTAAAAATATTTGCACATACACGTGCATAAGTCTCTAGTCAATAATAACTATGTTTGTTAACTGTTGTTTATGGCTGATGTTAACAACACCGAAAATAAGGTCAACCCTAATAAAAATTAAACAAATTTCCACATAAAACAATAATGATGATGTTAATTACACGTATGATTGGGCACAACAAGAACTAAAAAGCCTACAAACAAACAAACGAACGAACGACAACTTTAAAACGTTAGATTGAATAATACTATTGGGCTTGGTTAATGCATAATTATGGTTAAAAAGCAAGCTTGAAAATCGTTTCTCAAAATATCAGCGCAGTACTGTAGATTCATCATAACCATAATCATCATCATCGTCACCATCACCATCGTCATCACCACCACCATCATCGTCATCATCACCATCCATCATTGTTTACGCCTGCCGGAGCTGGAGACAGTTGCCTTCATGAAGGAGGAGGAGGTGGTGGTGGACGATGACGATGTTGTAGTAGATGTATTTAAAATCACAGCAGAACCATTTAAACTATTGTTATGGCTTTTATTATTATTGTTGTTGTTGTTGATGTTGGGGGAGCCCCGCCCATCTCTGGAATGTGATACCAACGGTGACGTCAAGTTGTTCATACTTCTACGCAACGTTGCAGCCACTTTCCCGCCATTGTGAGGTGTAGCCGTGGCAGTGGAGGTGTTTGCGTTTTTACCGGCGCTTCTGTTGTGGGCTCGTTTCTTGTCGTGGCTCAACTTTTCGTGCCTCACAAAAACGCCATGATGGTTCTTGCACCTGAAGTACCGCACGCCCTTCACGTAGCCATCGTTCTTACCTGTCGTTAGTTTCAATGCGCTACATTGAATGTTGAAGTTGGGTTGGTAGTGTGGAGTGGCGAGTGATCGTTGTGTAGTGGTTAGTAACATTGATGGTGAATCATTGGTGGTGAATCATTGATGGTAAATCATCGCACTTGAAAAGAAACTAATAACCAAATATTAAATCAAACGAAATGAAAATAATTGAGGCAGGAAAAGGGAACATTGGTTCGCAAAATTTTGAAAATAAATCCATTAGAATACAAGTACATGAATGCGTGAATGAAGGAGCTGAAAACGAGTATTCTGATGGTAGGGAATGATGAATTATTATAAAATACATATTTGATTAAATTTCATAGAACGTCCTTCCATAATTAATCATCAACTACGTGAACAGAAAACACGAGCGAACCATCCGCAGTGTCCAGCTCGACTCCCACCCACATGCCAGGAGCGAATTCAGTCCTGCCAATATATTTCACTAATCCAGGTTTCAACTGGCCCCCAGAAACCGAAACAAAGACCGGTTCATCGTATTGAATCCAAGATGGCGGAGGTACCTCGTTTAAACGGTGCAGATCGGCTCGACTGCCAAAAGAGCAGACGCTGACACTATCGTCTGTAACTTCTGGCAGGCAAACGGACGTTTTATTACGTTAGTCACAATTTTACGGAACAATATAATCTAATTTTAATATTTTTGTGACAAAATAACGCATTTTTTACTACTTTACATGGTATTTGTTGATAAAATTAGAATGCAAACCTTGCGAGTAAGCTTGAGATTGAGCCAGGGTGTGCCCAGCAATATTGCCATTATTTGAATCAGCATCTTTTATGATTTCGCTTTGATATGAATGCGAGTGACAGCTGTTGTGATTTTTAATATCAGCGTTATCACCAGTGGCAGCAACATCGAGGTGGCTGTTATCGACAAGAACTTCAGCGTTGCACAGAACAATGTTGCTAATCCCTGTAACGTTCCCCGTCACATTGTCCACACCACCATTCACAATCAGGTCGTCAACATTGTAATTGCTCGGCTTAACGTCATCATTAATGTTCAACACTTCGTCATCATCGTTATTGTTTGGCTTACTGTTATGCGTGACGTTCGTAGCAGCAATAGCTTGACTAGTGTTGCTAATGCTATGGTTCATATTTTTATTGTCGTTGATGAAAAAGTTATTGGCGCAGAAGCTGTTGTTACTGGAGTGGTCAGCATGTTCGGTCGAGTTAGCGGTGACATCTTCAACACTCTGCATGCTCAGAGAGTCTTCTGAACTCAATGTGACGGTTGAAATGGCTTGGTTGGACCCACCGTAGCCGCTGGAAGCCAGACTTGAAGCTTTCATCGAGCTCGCTGTTAATGACGACGTTGTTGTAGCAGGAAGCGTGGTGGATGACGTCAAATCGTTGTTGTTGTTGCTGTTATGGTTATTGTTGTTGTACTTAAGAGTGTTGTCCATTGATGCGATCATGTCATCGTGGCTGTTGTTGATGTCACCAACAATCTTACTGTCGTTAATTGATAGTGGGTAGTCATCGTTATCATCTTCCTCATTCTCCTCCTCCTCTTCATAACATTCCTAAGTGAGCAAGATTGAAGCTTGAATCTAATTCTCTTCGTCAAATCACTTTAAAGAATAAATTCAAAGCACAAATACATCATCCATCGCTTAGTGATACAACTTTAAAAGGAAGTTTAAAAAATAATAGACCTCAATAACGTAGCCCTCGGAAGTGACGTCACTAGCTTTCTTGCACGGTTTTTCTTCAACCAGCGTTGAAAGTGGTTTGTGCTTGTTCTGCGCTGGACTGACTGAATAAGGAGAACCTGAAGAGGTGGATGGAATTATTTTTTAGCTGGTCACAAAGCCTCTGTGCATGTTTATATAAGCTTAAAGCAATCTAAAAAAAGAGTAAACATGAATTTATTAAGATGGTTCCAAGACTGTTAAGACTGTTACATAGAAAACAAATTGAAATATCAACTCGAAAAACAAATTTAAAAACAAATTATTTAAAAAAGATCATATTAAAACAAAGATTCTAGTAAAATAACTTAAACCGAACGATGAATGTTCAAATTTTATATCCTAGTACAGAGTTCCATTACTTTCAATATAAATCTTATTGAATAATTAATCTGTACACGGTGATAAAGTTTAACAGAATATTTTTCGCGAAAAAAATGAAAAAATAAAATGGTCGAATAAGCAGACGACTAAACGATATAATAACAAAAGAAATAATTTTGGAAACCATGAGCCAAAAATAATAACTTAAAAAACAAAAATGAAATCTTGTCAACATTAATTAAATTACTCTATATTGTACTCCAGTACAATACAATAAAACAATACAAGATTAAAACTGAAGATGGCAAGATATAACATAAGAAACGCATTGTGAAACAACTGTCTTAAAAAAAGAACTAATGAAGGAAACGAATTGTGAACACGTGAAGAACAAGTTGAAATTTTATAAAGAGGAGAACTCGACAGCACCACACCAACGTACTATAAATACTGCTCCTCAGGTTCAGAAATGTGGGTCTCGCTGATTATTTGTGTAGTGAATTTTTCAGTGGTTCATTAAACGCATAACAAACATTGAAGTGAAGACCAAACACATTCTAATACGTTTATCATAAAAGCAATCAACCAAAATACATAACACACACACACACGCACATCCAATCGACAACAAACAAACAAACCAGACAAGACAGTCAAAAAACAAAAAGCTGAAATGCCACCGAACGAACCGATGCCACAATCTTTCTTGAACTGAACAACATCCTGATGCGTCGTGTGGTAGAAGTAGTCGCCATCAGGTCTGCAGGTGGCTGTGCTCGTCTGCGAGACGTCGTGATTGCTGTCGCTACGGATCTGTATGTGATGGTGATATGGTGTGATGATGAAGATTACGGTGTGAAGATGGCATTTAAGATGGCTGTCCAGTTGGTTTAATAGACGCGTTTGTTACATTTTTTGTTGTTTTTGGCTATTGTATAGCTCCTCGTAGCCTCAACATTACGTAGCGAAAAAAATTATGAAATTGTAGTAAAGGTAATTGCATGTTAAACATAGTAAATACTGCTTAAAGTGATGTAGCATTATCACATAACAACAATAAGAATGTGGTGCACGTGCAGAGTCTAATCAGGCATTGAAGAAGAGATAACACACACAAACGCACGCACACACACACACACCACACACACACACAGAGAGAGAGAGAGAGAGAGAGAGAGAGAGAGAGAGAGAGAGAGAAAGAGAGAGAGAAGCTAACATTCGAGCATTCCAACAAATACACTTAAAAACAAATAACGTTAAAAATAACCAAAAATGAATCTCTACACGAATAAATAAATTTGTGAAAAGATATCAACAAGCAAAAAAGTTTAACGGGACATACTTGTTCTTGCAGTGCACACGGAGATGTTAGTATCTAGTGCGAAAACATTAACAGGAGGTTAAAAGCATTTAACACAATTGTGGAAAAATGTACGTGTACGTGTGTGCATGCATGTCTGTGTGCGTGTGTGTCTGTATACGTTAATTCTTATGTGTGAACGTTTATATGTGTGTTTTCCTACTAAAAATCACTTCTAGACATTACAGTAAATAATATCACAAATATTATCATTATTATTATTATTATAAAATAATTTACTTAATGGAAACAGCTTGTTTACAGCTAATATTGGTTACTGGCCAGCTAGTATAAATGAAATATCATTCAAACTAACTGAAAATCACAGCATTAATCATTGTTAATATAACGACTACTCTGCTGCTGTTGAAAAACAAATTAGTAAGCATAGTAAAGAAATTCGTCTAAAAAAATAATAACCAAACAACAAATTTGATATTATAAACTAAAATGTACGTTAAACAGTGGCCGCCGTGGTTAACAAGGTAACAGATGAGATCAACTGAACAACTCAGGCAGGCAGAATAAACAAAACGCAACATACATTCCACCAATGTGATCATGCGATAATAAAATTATACAGAATTGATTACATCACATATAATCTACATCACATCACATCCTAAATAACGTAACGTATGTTATATCATCTCACACATAACATATCCCATTAAATTGCTAATAGGAACGATCAACTGAACCTAATTAGCCGAAATGTTACAAACCAAGTAAATAAATAAATAAATATATATATATATATATATATATATATATATATATATAAATGATGATGTTTTTTAATGGGGAGCTGATATAATGAGCAAAACAAAATTGACAATGAAAATATATGATGGAGTTGGAATATCTAACATTGTAAATATTTGGCACGCTCGTTGCTTTCCTCAATGGACGGCCTTTGACTGAGAGGATCTCTTTCACTGCTACATCCTAATGATCAACCAATCATATCAATCAATCAATCAATCAATCAATCAATCAATCAATCAATCAATCAATCAATCAATCAATCAATCAATCAATTAATAAATCATATCAATCAATCAACCAACTACGCAACTATTAAACAGCAAACAAAAAACAAAATAACAAACAAACAACTAAATGAACGAACGACAAACAAGCAGATGAACGAACTTCAAACAAATAAATGTACAAACCTGTCTCAACCTATCCAACATAAGAATACTTTCAACAGCTGACACACCTGTCAATGCATTAAAATGAATTTTTTAAATATATAAGCTATTATTATTCTTTTTACAAAAAAATCAATAAAATCAATAGCTAGTTTATTATATGTGATTAAAATGCAATGGAAACCTTTGATGTACTTTTCAATGTACGTTTCGCCATCTGATGTGTCTACACAAAATATCAAACACTCATTCACTCATGTGTGTATATTAATTTATTATAAAAAAATATTATAATATAAATTCAAAATAACTATAATTAAGTATAATTAATGTAATAATTATTATTGTTATAACTGTGCTACCGAACGTACTAGATTCTAGCGTATTCTAGAATGTTCTAGTGACTGGAGCATTCTAGAGTATGCTAGAATCGGACCATCTGGAAGAATCTAGAAACGACGCTTGCGAAGAGTATAAAAGCGCACGTCGCAAGATATTCGTGATTAGTGAAATTCGTGATTTTGTGAATAGCGATTCGGTGAATTATTTAAAGCGATATTTGATTTGTTTGTTGACGTTGTCATAGCGATAGATTTTGAAAGATTTAAAAGTTAATTGTTGCGTTAGTGCGAATTTACTGGAAATAAACGATTAGTTGATTTCTTCTGTAAATAAAGTTTAATAACTAATAATAGTTGATTTCTTCTGTAAATAAAGTTTAATAACTGTTTGGAGTATTTTATTCAATAGAAGATTTGAACCCGTTGCATCGTAAACCGGTTACGACAGCGAGTATTATAACATTGGTGTCAGAAGTGGGATCTTCGACAGCGAATATTATAACATTATTAATAATAGTAAATATATTTGTTATGAATGAAGGTCAAGGCCTACCTTGGTTGTTTTGTGAGGCTGCAATCTGTGCCAAACTTTCACGGTCCTCTAACTCCTCTGATGACTGTTGGTGATGATGGTGACGAAAGTTATGAGGATGATGAAGATGATGAAGAAGATGATGAAGAAGATTACAACAAAAAAGATGACGATGATGACGAAGATGATGATGGTGAAGAAAAATATGAGGATGATGAAGATGGTGACGAAAATTATGGGGATGATGAAGATGACGATGGTGAAGACGACGATGGTGATGAAGATGATGAGAATGATGAAGATGATGATGAAGAAGATTACAACAAAGAAGATGATGATGATGGAAAATTTACGATGGTTAAAGGAAATGCGTGTGGGATGTTGATAACAAAAAGATGACGATTAGGAAGACGAAGAAGAGTACGACGATGAACACGATGAGTGATGATAATGAGGGGAATGAGTGTGATGATGACGATTTTGAAGATGATGATGATAAAGATGATAATGCCGAGAATTATATCACTGAATATTAATTAGTAAAAGAATTACATTAAAGGTAATGGCGAGTCATGAAAGATGGCCAATACAATAACTTCATAAAATAATTATCACGGAGTTAATAATATCAAGGAAGTACCTTTGGAATGTTGGAAACAAACTCATAAGTGACTCCAGTAGCGGACATAAAATCCTGGCAAATATCATTAGAATATGTTAATGATGATACCTGCGCAGGTGGAGAAAAAAAAAGAAAAACTAAAAATAGATCGTGCATAAAATTAAAAGTAAATTTAAAATAAATTAAAATTATTTGAGGGTTGTTTGAAATTAATTGAACCGAACTAATATAAAATAGAAAACAAAAAATAAATCATAAACTTTTGTTTACAATAATAACAAAAATAATAATAGTTTTATATCATTTAAACTTATGAGAAAAGTATTTTAACAAAATTTTACAGAATTTTTGTTTGGAAATTAAATCTAATTTTACAAATTGAAAATAATATGACAATTCCAAACTTGAACAATGTAAAACAAAAACCAAATAAAAAAATCTTAAAAAAAAACTAATTAATATTTGCAAGCAATCCAACGTGAACGACCATTAACACAGGAAACAAACTGCTGTTAAAAATCTCCTCTTTCTACCATCATCACTCAACCATCAGCCTCCAGCATCATTCAAATTATATCATGCACATCTATGAGTACATACAGCCTTTCCAATCTTCTTCTTAAGCTTGTCGGTGAAACTCTGTTTCTTGTAGACGTTGATGCAAATCCTCTTCCTAAGGACTACTTCCATTCTGGCTGGATGGCTCAGACGAACAACGACCTGCAAACACATTTCTTTGTTCTTAACTGTTTAGTTTCTTTTATATTCACAAACTCAACTGGATGGAATAAATCTGATTAAAAAATATTCTTTTGACGTCATAAAAAATTAAAATAAATATAAAGAACCTTAAGTATAAGGTAGACCCGTTCGTTGCTGGGTGTGATGCGGTTCAGATGGATGGAATCGTGGACAGATGAGTCCCAGGACGCAAGAACCGACACCTTTATACATATGTTCAAGTGTGCAATTTGGCAAGTTTCACACAATATTCATTTTACCAATGTAGACTTATAATTAATTAATCAAAAATTTCAAAGTAATCAAACTCTAATCGCTTTTCAAATCAGAAGAAATTAAGGATTAAGTGAATAAATTACCGAATTATTTGAATAATAAGTGATATAAATAATGCAACGAAACAAATGAACAGTCTAGAGACCTCCTTGTCAAAAGTCTTAACAAAAGAAAGCGGGAAAAATTTGGTTCCTTGTTCCTTGGGCAGGATGGAATTACATCCCACTGCTTGCAAGCCTTCCTTTGCACTCGGAGTTGACATGTCTTCAGCTTACAAGCAATGTAACATTATAAGTTGTGATTTAAAATTAAAAAAAAAATAATGTTTTAACCAAAATAACGTGTCAAGTTGAAACATCAGATAACATTGAAATAAATTTTAATTACTATACGCCAAGTGCAAATCTAACCATTTAAATCAAGGAAGACAACAGGAATGTGCTGCTCCATGGTCGGTGCATGGTCCCTGCCATATGGAAAGAAATTCAATTGACAATATAAATAAACAAATAAATTATAAATAAATAAATAAACTAAATGAACAAACGAAAATTTGTTAATTTTTGTCTAACAAGCGAACAAACGACAAACAATGAACAAACGAACCAATCGGCAGGTGCTCCAGGTATGCAACTGCCAACAGCGGGCACTAGGACGGCATTGCGTTCTTCAGCCAGACAGACCCACTGATCAATGAGACTGCATTCTCGTTCAGCATCTGCTTCTGTTTTATCTTCAGCTGTCAGCAATTTGAAATCATTCATTACAAATCGATCACTTCATTTTAAAACGTTGGTCAGTTTCCAACAAAATTTTCTAGTAAGAGTGTCGGGTGAGGTTATGAATGGGGTAGCAAAAAAAAACATTGATCTTGCATATATTAAATGAATCACTCAACCACTCGACTGCATAACACGCACAACCAAATTATTTTCCTCCACCTAGCTCACAAACCTTTTTTGTTCATAATCTTCTGCAACTGCTCATCGAGGTACTCCCTTCTCTTCTCAAGAGCTTCGGACCACTTCTGCCTGAGCAGGTTCAAATCTTCCTCCTGGTAACTATCCAGACCTTTCTGCAGTTTAGACCGAGCACATACACACCCGATTGATATCTGCTCGATTGATTCACAGATGATGGGGAGGGTGCCTGAATTCTGAACTGGCCTCATTGAAACCTGGTTCAAGTCATCATATCAAACGTAATTTTATTCATTTCAGTGGAAATAATAATTATGATAAATTACGAGAATGAGAAGAGCGAGCGAACCAGTATCCTGCGAGAATATCCTTGTCTGAGTTGGTAGGCTCCGCCAGTTGGAATTTCCATCCTGCCATGTTGGACGACCTCCACCGGTACATAGTCACCTTGATCGTTCAACTCATGAATCTCCACCCACAACTCTATCTTCCTCGTTAACTCATTCCACCTACAAGTCACCGTGATGGGAAATGCAACGTTGACGAAAAACTAAATCAAGTGGAGCTAACCAATCAGTAAATTACAAAACCAATAAAAAGAGCTAACATAACTTAAGAGCGAGAATTATGAAAAAGATCCACAACAAGCAATCTACCGACCTGTCTAGCATGGATCTCGACTTGGCATGAACCTGTTCAATGCCCCATCCAGGCAGTCCCCGCAGTTCCGTGCCTCTGTGACCCCACACCTCGATGGATAGGGCACCATCTGCACAGTGCTCCAGAAACTCCTCTGTGACTTGGAAAAGAAATTCCTGATGTAGAAGAAAAATATAATATAGTGAACAAAAAACAAATGTACAATTAGGAAAGACGATAAGATTTAATTGCAAATACGCACGATTAAATAAATATCTTTTAAATAACACAAAATAAAAAACTAAAATAAATTGTGATAAACCGTCAGTAGACATTTTGATGGCTGGCAAATAAATCAGCCAACCAACCCATGATTTATTAAATTCAAAGTTAAAGATTGAAATCAAACAGAAGCAAAGCGACAGACCTTAGTATGGTTGAACTTGACGGTCATATTTTCAAAAGTGATCTTCACTGGCTGCTTGGGGTGGCAACCACAATTGAAATTTCCAAAGTTACTGTGTGGACAGCAGTGAGCGGCGTAGTTTTGGTCGAGGATTGGTTTGATTTTCACGGGCTCGGGACACCCCCAAAAGTTGTACCGACAGAAAACTAAATTTGAAACTGCAGGTGGTAAGCCTCTGGCTTCTTTCACGACAACCTGGCCATGGAGTAGTGAGTGTTGGAGTGTTTTTGGGTCTTGAGTAAGTGGATGCTAGCAAAAAAGATTATGAGCAATACAACGATAGCATAACATGATTAGGAAAATATCGGTATTATAAATTGCATGTGGATAAGACGAACGTGGTGGAACCAAATATATTTTTAAGTTGATAGTGAAATACAAAAAAGTAATGACGACTGTTAAAATGTTACTGGAAAAAACAAAGTGACCCGACATGCTCGATGTTTTAATAAGATGAACATTTAAATGCGTAAATACGTTCAGCTTAGTAGCTAACACGGCATAAAATCCATTAAAAAACCAGTTTTTGTTGCAATCAACAAGATATATATATATATATATATATATATATATATATATATATATATATATATATAAAATATACATTTATGTGGAGGTGTGTGCAAATTCTTCAGGACTCATCTAAAAAGTTACAATTCCTCAGTTTATGAAATTTCAAAATAGTTTTAATAAACTGAACGTCAGAGCCGCGGGACGAAACAGTCGAAAGTGGTGCCAGAAATGATCATTATCATAATCTCCTTCCAATAAAATGTGATTAGTGTAAATGAACAAATTTCAAATCAATGTAAATAAATTACTGACCCGGCACATGGCATAGTTTCCAATGGAGAACCCCGTTCCATCGTCACCCTCGTTACACTCAATGAAACTGCCCACGTGACTCTCGTTTATGGGGTCAACACCATCGCCCGACAGGTAGGACGTTGTTAACGACGACGTGTCTTCTATGAAGCGTCCGTTCAGACGAGATATTTCAACGTGTAAACGACCTGACACCTGACGAAGAACATCTAACTTTGTAAATAACAAAATAAATTTTTGGAAATCTTGTCAAAAAAGAGGAAGTAAAATCATTTGAACAAAGGTTTTGTTTTTAATGAAACAAAATCGTTGTCGTCGTCGCCATTGTAGGCGTCGTCGCCATCGTCGTCGCAACTGTAGTTACCACCACCACCACTAACACCACACCCCAACAGACCTCTCCCTGCTGGTTAATGATAGGAACGTGATAATCCAGTTTGGCATCGTAGAAGAGAACTTCAAGAAAAACATTGGCCACACCAATCAGGTGGCGGTTTTCGTTGGTGTCGAAGAATGGATCATCCCTGCCTGCTGGAACCTGGTGCTTGCAAAATCGTTCAAGAAACACCACATGAGGTCATGCGGTTCAAGAAACATCGTATACAAGGTCATACGGTTCAAGAAACATCATATATAAGATCATACGGTTCAAGAAACATCAAACCAAATGAGGTCATGCTGGGTTTCAAGCTTTATTTGAACAAATGTAAAAAATAAAAATAATAGCTAATTCAAGAACTCACCTCCAGAACGAATTCATCCTCCCCTAGAGAATTGAGACAGCCAATTTCTTTGTAGTCCTCATAGCAATCTCTCATATCAATGACTCGATTCTCAAACTTCTCCATAGACCACACCTGGCTGGCTCGATTACTGTTTTTGTATTTCACTAATATTGCCGGCTCACTCACGAACGCTCCTTTCTAGAAACAATTCGGAAAAATATTTTAAATTAAAAAATTCATCCAATATTAAATTCAGAAGTTTAGCATAAATTTTTAAAGCGACCTTCCTATTTGGACTGAGATTAGTGGCAGGAATTTGGAGTGTAACTGAATATTCAACATCTTTTGAAAGCTCCTGAGCCAAAAAGTTGGCTTCACTTACCAATGTGTTGGCTTTCACTACTTCCTCCTTCAACTTGCACAAACTTTGACGAAAGATCTTCTCTCTTTAAAAAATTAATTGAATAGATTATTTTTTGTCAGTTCAATTATGTCAAAAAATAATGATAATAATTTTTAAATTCAAACAACTTCTAGACTACTATATTGTTTAAATAAATCATTCAAAATAGAATAACAATAAAATAATAACCTATCTTTGGCCCAGAACTGATACTTGGAAGGTATGGTAGCATAAGTGGATGACGAATAAGCAGATGGAGTTCCAGCGGTCGGTGTCAGTTTGGAGAAAGAATCGAAGGTGTAGGGGATGGAAGGGGCACCTGGAGACATCAACTGGTTGCGTAGTTTCTGCATCTGTCGTTCGTACATCAGTCTCTGCTTTTCTAACGCCACTGATTTCAAATTTTGTTGAAAGTTGGAAAATATTTAGATGTTTCAATACAACCTGGTTTTAACACTTTACAAGAAAACAAATCAAAAACAATAATTATCACATGAAATAAAGTGGAATAATGAATAAGTATGAACAAGTAGCATGCCTTGTTTATCTTCTTCATGCTGTTTCTCGATGCTGTTTATGGCCTCCTGAATTGGATCGCCGACCATCTGCTGCAACATCAACTCTTGTTGGGCAAAATCGTAATCTATGTTCTCTGGAGTTTCTGCTGATGGGCCTAGTGATTAGTATTAGTAGTGATTAGTAGTGATTAGTGAGTAGCGAGTAAGTATCGATATATCCAATAACTGAGAAAAAGTCTTTAAATTAAGTAAATAAAATAAAAATCTTTAACAAGACAATAACATAAAATGAAATTTACTAGTTTTTGGGCAGTTGAGTCTGAAGAAGTGATAGCTGCCCCAAACAATTCTGTCCCCATGCTTCACTCTCATGCGGTCAGTGATCATTCGTCCATTCACACACGTTCTACAAATTAAAAGAAATATTGCTGCAATTGTTTGCGAATATAATGTATTGAAATTAATTCGCTGGCGTTAGATTAAAATGATGGTATAAAAATGCTTTTGGAAAACTGAATGAAGTATTCCAATTAAAAACACCAGATATCATGGGCAGAACATTCATCAAAGCCAATAGAACAATCTAATATTAATTATATATTTTTATACACCACAGCCTTTTGAAAAATAAAATGATAAGTTTAAGACAATAAATAGATCATCAGCAAGGCGACAATTTTTTGCTTCTCATTAGCAACACCTGCACGCTTCAATGTGTATGGCACAATAGTCTGACGTACATTCCGTTTATGTGTTGATCTATTTTAACAGTAATGAAGAAATGACATCTGTTTAGTGCTTTCGAAATATTCTGTCAACTACAAAATGAAAATGAACAACTGCATGCTGTACGAGTGCGGAACAAGAGCGATATCAGTTGGAACACAAAGACGAATGTTAAGAATGAAAGAAATCTTTCGCAAAATAAAATTTGAAAAAAAAATTAAGATAGATGAACTATGAAAAAGTGCATGCGCTTATTATTACTACCACTAGCATTGATATGTATGGCCCTCTGCGCTTTTTCCCAGGGGCCCTCATGTAGTCAACCACAAATGCTTACGATCATGAAATCAGTAAATTGCAATATAAATGAAACATTTGAACATGGCCGATAGAAATTGTTTTAAGAAATAAAAGAGAAAAAAATTGTCGTCAAATACTACATTAATACAAATTTGCAAAACGCTGCGACAAGACTGGTTGTTGGGCTTGGTAGACGAGATGACATAACTGGGTGGTTGGAGAATCTTCATTGGTTGCCGGTGCGTGAAAGAAGTCTTTACAAGATGGCAGTTGTTGCTCACACTTGCATGTATGGAGATGGACCAGAATACTTGAATGAGAAAATCTGAGATGGACAAATGAGAGTGAGTGAGAGATGAGAGTGAATTGATGGTAGTCCCCAGAACTAAGACGAAGCTGGGTGATATATGTATGCAGTTGCTTGGTCAAAGATTTGGAATGACCTACCACTGTGTTTGAGACAAATTGTTCCAGGAAAAAAATTCAAACAGGAACTGAAGACGCACTGATTCAAGCATTTGATTCATAACCTTTGTAATACTACTACTACTACTACTAATAATAATAATAATAATAATAATAATAAAAAGCTGTTTCGAAACGGGAGAAAAAAACCCCTTTTTGAATATTTTTGTAAGCCGCACAAAACAAAACTGTTGATGAGCACGCAAAAGCACATGAGCACACATCTGCGCGGCTAAAGTATTTGTCGAAAAAAGAAAACAAATGAATGTTTGCACAATGAGAAATGACAGGACATTGGCAGTTTAGATGTGCAAGAACAAACACACCGGCATGGCAGCAACGGTGATATGTTCACATTGCAACGCACTCCCCATATATGCATTGTACACTATAAGTACACACACATGTGTGTACACAGGTAGGCGGCACGTACATACATAACTTCAAATAAAAATGAATGACTAATTGTGGAGCACCTTATCTTAATGACCATCCATAAAATACAAACATAAGCAGCGCAAACAAAACTCTTGAAAATGATATAAAACAGAAACAGTAAAAAGCAAAAAAATTGCATTCATAAACATTCATCAAGAGATGGCGTAAAATGCAAGCAGTAACCTTGCTCCTTTAATTGGCTGTATGTAGACGTCCAAGCCTTCGATGGTCATGATGCAATGTTGAGGCATGATGCCCAGGCCATACAACTGGATGTCTGCATCGGGTCGACCGATCAATGTGTGCTCCTTCAAACATTTTTTAAATCAATGAATGAAAGTGAGTAAATTAATTAACTGCTTTTAATATGAAGAAAACTTTGAGAATATTAGTAGAACAACTAAATGATGTGTTACACAATAACCAAACAAATCAAGAATTAGAATAAAATGTTTGTACAAGAAATGAAAAGAAATAAGAAACTGAAGTATCTATCAGTGTGCAATGTGAAAGTTGTCAGGCTGCATTAAGCGAGACTTTAAAATGAAAAGCAGGCCATTCTTGAAGGGTTTCTTTAACGTTTTCACGAGTTGATTATATCTGAGCTGATGAAGACTGTATAGATTGAAATGATGGTATTTAACGTAGGTGAAGAGAGTAACTGACATCTGTAAACTGGGTGATACGCAATCACACTACATTTCAAACGTGACTGATGTCTTCAATGAAACTCTATGCACCCGAGTGCACAACCTCAATAAAATGGAGCGTTCAATCACGGAGAAGGAAATTTAATTAAACGAAGAAGCAGCGAAATAGAAAATTAATATCTATATTCAGGATATATATTAACAAAACTGTGTAGAATTATTTCTAAACGCATCAACAAAAAAGAGTTCTACTCCAAATTATTTGCTACGACTAAATTGTGAAAAAATTTAAAACAATTATTAATTAATGATTATATTTTATAAAGAACACAAATTATTCGGTTAATTTTAAATTGTAAATTTATTAATTTTTAACCTCACAATTATACCTTCATTTTATACCGCAAAACGGAAAATTTTTGTTAAATAATACAACAAGCTTAATCATAAAATAAAAATATTGCAGCCGGTAATATGGCTCTGCTGATGCGAAACACTCGGAAACATAAGGATGAACTGAGAAGATAAATTGTTAAAAATTCAGCCAATTAAATCAGTTAACAAAAATGCAATTTTAAAAAATTAATCAGGCAGACGTAATTTTCAAAACATCAGTTTCAACCCTGTTGCACAAATTTTAAACTATCAATTGAACTTAAATTAAGTTTATAAAAATACCTTAAGATAGTAGACGAGAAGTTCGTTGAGGCATGGATCAGCATTGAGATTGACCAGGTAGTGCTTGCCCTGTTCCACCTTGATGCCAGAGGTCTCCACTGAGATGCCCATCTTTTCCAGAGCTGCGTGTCTCTCCTATGTAGCGTTGGGATAACGATGAGGTTTAATAAGAAGCAAGTTGGTAATGTTGGAAATAATTTAAATTATTAAAATTAACATACCATTCAAAACGCTAATAATAATCCACTCAATTTTCTCAAATTTCAGGAAGAAATTGTTGACCTAGGTGCATGTTGTGTATACGCTGTTATAAAGTAATTGTAATGGTATTTCATAGTTCAGTATAAATTCTGACTTTCATATGGACTAAATGAACGATGAAGTTCCTTCCGGTCATGACGTGTACTTAACGTGTACAAGGAAATAAAAGAGTTTGCAGCGTAGAGCTGGTAACTTGAAGTAAAAATAGGAATAAACAATATCAGAAGTTTAGCTCACGACACTCAAATGAAATATTTTTAATATTCAGTTACTTCTTTATATCAATATATTACTCTCACTGCGATCATCATCTTCTTCAAAGTAGCAAAAAAACATTTTTTCAAATATTCCTTCTAGAAAAACTCAATGCAACTCAATAAAACTACAACAAATGAAATAACAGAACTTTGTTTAAATTAAGATGATAAAAGTGTTTGATCAGAATTAAGTAACAACATCAAATATACCACAGTTACCGTTCAACACTTTCAAGGTTTATCTGTTCGGAAAGTATTTGTTAAACTTAATCGTATTTATCACAAGCTAAACCCCTTTTGTTAATAAAAATTACTTCAATCAAAATTTCATACGCTGTCGAGCAAATTTTATGAGAAAGCTTTAACACAGGTTAACACCAAAACGAATGTTCCAACAGCAGAAGGAGTTTCTTCATAACTTTATATAGCCTCTTAAGGATTTCACTGCAACCATCCACACCTATTTCTACACATATATATATAAGCCAGAAATGCTCGAAAATAAAAATAAATAGTATGGTTTTAAATATAACGCATGCAATGTTATAGAGGAAGGATCACATAGAAAAAACATTAAGAAACAAATGGGAAGAAGGAGTAGATTGGAGCAAATGAAGAGGAAAATAAAACTCAAGGGAGAGATCAATCCAACACCCATCATGTGCACATGAATACAAATCTGCCAACGCTTAATAGCACGCAACTACAACACAAAACACGATATTTGCAACAACCTGAAAGAATCACAACAAAAAAATAAATATTTGTTGCCACTGTGTTGAGCAAAAAAGACCAAAATGTATAAGGGAAAAGTAAAAAGAAATAATATTGAAAAGACGCCATTAAATCTGGCAATAGAAATAAAAAAATCCACAAGAATGTGAGCAATGCATCATACTCTAACAAGATGGATGATGACTCGATGAAAGACAAGAACTTCCCATGACGCAAAAGAATAATTTTTTACGAAAAATTTCAAAAGAAATAACAAAAAAAAACAATCTTAAACAATCCATAAATTATATTTAATAGGACACATCAAACAATAAAATACAACTAGATAGAACGTAAATGGAAAGATCTGGAATGGCCATGCAACACTGAGTTGCGTTCAAGTGGAAGTGTGAAACAAACGTTCGTATTGAAACATAAAACTAGCATAAACCACTGCGCTCAAATTGATTCATTCTCAAATGCATTCAAAATTATGAAATAACCAGCCAGTTAAAATTCATAGCGCTTAAAAACGCAGTAACAAGGTTGAATAAATTCCAAAACATGGCATTAAATTTGTTCAAAACATGAGGTAAATTGATTTTTTTTTACAATGAAATAAAGCAACCAAAAATATGCAATACATCAGTAACAACACTTAACATTAAGAGAGGTTATCTATAAAAGCTATAAAATTTCAAGATAGCAAAAAGCTGAACCAAACGATACAAATAGCCCAAACTTTTACACAAGATAACCTGGCACACAACAACAATCTATTGAATTTCAATTTGTATTAACACAGAGAGGCAAAATTTAATGTTTGAGCAATGCAATCAGAGTTTGAAACAATTTTATGAATATGAAATAAACCGTTAATGCAATTAAAATTTTAATTAATGAAAAAAGTAATAAATGTTGTTAAAAATAGTAGAAAAGATGGTGTAACATAATTACAACAATTATTTTAATATAATAATTACGATGATGATAGTTCAGTTGAAGTGACTGCAATCAAATAATTAGAAACAAATTTTAATTTCAACGCATAATTATAAATTATAACTTGAATTTTTTCTAAATTATAGTAATAATTCCAAAAATAATTCATTCACAAGCAGTTCACGACGGAACCCACAATGGAAATAACTCAAATGAGAGAAGCCATGCATGCAGCGGGGCAGAGAAATAAACAATAACCTTTGACCTTAGTGACCCTGCAACAAACAAATCAAATCTAAGTGTAAATGCTTTCATTGTTTTATATTTCTTTGCTTTCCTGCTCCGACCAACTGACCTAGCAGAAAAGGCATTAACACTTCAAACTTTAAAATTTTCGTCCCTTTTACGTAATTGGGTTCCAATTTAATTTACCCTGTATGTAAAAATTGCTGTAACTAGAAGATGCTGAACTGACAAAATTTTAGTTTCAAAGTTGTTGAAGCATATGATTTTTTGGCATGTAAACTGAAGGATTTTATAGATGTACATTTATTCTGTTATATTATATTTCATAAACTGACAACATCATAAAATCTAAATATTCAGCAGAAGTCCGACTTTCACAATTCTTATTTAAAAGTTTCCTCCAATCTCTATTAAGTTCATCAGTTCCACCTCCTGAAACTTTTCCTATATAATTTTCTAGATTTCCTTCACTGCATCATTTTTTATCTATCTTGTCATTTCATTAATTTAATCCCAAATTAAAATAAAAAATTTATTTATCCATTCTTTGCTTCAACTTTCTGAACTGATGCCCATTTCATCATGTCTTTATATCAGTAACGATACTAGGAAGTTTCCAAGAAAGTTAATCATGAAAACATATTGAAGACAAATTGGTGATATGTTGAGAGCACAATGAGGTTTACAGCTGCGTCAAAAAAGACAACCAACACCAGTCAAAATGACCGTAAAAACCTTTCCTACTACGCTTGCAACTCAAACATAGCCACACAAAAACAGACTACTTCAGTTTCGCATTTGAATGTTTTTCTGATTTAAAAATTCACTTCCGCATAAGTTAAACAAGCATTGATTGATTGGTTGATTGATGGGTTGATTGATGGGTTGATTGATGGGTTGATTGATGGGTTGATTAACATTATCAGATTTCTAAACCATTCAACCATAATAAGCAGAAATGCTTTGAATACGTTGGCATTGCACAGTTCTCTGACGCTATGCCGGAACAAAATATGCAAATGATAAAACATTTGCATAACTGTGTTAATATAAAAAGTTTGAATTACTTTTTACACAGAACGAATTAAAAATGATAAAATGAAAAGTTTAAGATGACAAGACCAGCGGAGGAAAATCGAATAAATGAAAGACGAAAATGATTGAAAGAAAATAGAACAATGAAGAAAGTTAAGTGAAGTACAAAAATAAATGAAACAACATAAATGCTATCAGAAACTCATAACCATCAACCCAATTGACACACACACACACATAAACGCTAACTAACACACAAATCAACAAACACACAGACATACACAAAATGCACTGCTGCACGGTCTGACGCGAAGCTCCATCAACTGATCATCATGAATCAGTTTCATGCGTGCATATGCATTAAAATTTTGGCTAAGCAAATATGTTTCATTGCTTGCTTCGCATAAGAAAATGATTGAGCGAACTAACATTACTGAAATAAGGAAAAATAAAAAAATAAGAATGAGAAAAAATATTAACGTAAAAGTTAACTGCACTGAAGACATTTAAAAACCACGCAAACGAAAAAAGAAGCAAGTGGTTTTTAAACTTTTGAAAATGAATATTTCAGCACCAGATTTATGAATTAACCAGCAGTTACAAGCTCTGATTAATGATTTGTTAGGTCAGGAGCTAGGAGTGTCGTTAAAAGACGTGGACAAAATAAAATTTTATGGCATAACAGGCTTTTTGTATCTCATCAAATTCGTGCAGTTATGGATCTTTAAACAACATTTCTTCAAAATTATGAAGAAACCTCTAACCTTATAAATAAATAATCATCGGCAAGTCAACTTGTTTATTGCTATCTGGCTTATAAAATGTTTTTCAAGTAAGAATGTAAAAAATTGTAACTTTTCTCTGTATGCAAAATACCACATCTAATGAATTATTAAAAGCTTGAAAGAACGTGACAAGATAAATGACTTTGATTTATTTTTTCCTGATCCATTCTCAACCCTTAAAAGTATTTCAGTAAAATCACTTTCTTTTTAAAAGTCTTCAAAAGGCTCGGTGGAAAATGAAAAACGTTCAGGGGAGGCATCTGTGCATATTAAAACGTACATGCGTGTAATTTCGTTGCAGTCTGGCTGCATACAAAGCAGGCAATAATCACAAGTCATGTGATCGGAAGAAAACCAATAAATATAAAATAACAGAAATTTATCCGCCTCAAGGTTACGGATAAATTTGGAAAAATTGCACCCACACACAGTTGCATGCTATTACTTTCAAAATATTATCATAGATCAAAATCGTAATATAACTCCAGTTCATCTCATACGTATTATTAACCTTTATTTATTGTGTTGAAATTTTTCGAGGTTTCATCAAATCTAAAGAATGAAACGATCGTGGTCGTATTTTATTTCAATAAAGTGACTGTATTACGAAAAATGTTGATAAAATTTGATGGATTTGATCACATCCACCAATCGAACGAGTATTTCTAAATTCAGGCAATTTCCAATTTCACATCTAATGAATTTTGTCTATGGAAAAATGTTAAGTATGATGTATCTAAGTTTGCTTAAGCTAGCTGCATCATCTAGATATTAAGGAACCAAATAATGTTCACAAATCAAAGTAACAAAAAAAATTAAAAATTACAAAAACTAACCAGATGGATGCGTTCAGTTTCATTCAACTTTTCTTCCCAGGTCTTTCCAATTTCCTTCATCAACTTCTCTGATTCCTCCAATCTCTCCTGCAGTTCAACTGGCTTCACACTCTGTCGTTCAGAAATTTTTAAGTTTACATGGACAAATAAAATAAATGACAAGTGAAGAAAATATGAAATCAGCGCTAAAACATACAGATAAAAATTAAACAACAAAAATGATTATTAAAAGTTAGCTAAAATAAATATTAATAATAAAAATGAAATAAATTAGTCTTAAAACCTGTTTGGCTTCGGTCAACATCTTCCGCAACATGTCCACCTCCTCCCTCAACTCCCTGATGATCCTGGCATTGGGGTCCTCGTTGACAACGGCATGATTGACAATTCTCTTGGCTCGGTCAGCATAACGAAGGGTTGATAATGTTTCCTCATAGTTGTCAGCGGATGGACTTAACGTGGCAATCATCACCGTCTTCGAGTTGCCCCCCAGGTTGTCCTGCAGATGTGCAAGTGGAGGTTAATTAAAAGTTTCTCATAGGTATCAAAAGTAATAAATAGACAAAATGTGACCAATAAGAATACAGAATATACAGCGTCAATTTATTAAATAACAGGATTAAGAGAATTAAAAATATTTCTAAAATCAGGTTGATTATTAAATCATTAGTGACTGTAATATGATAACAATGACAACAGTATATCCTACTAACTTTCAACAACCAAGTAAGCACGGAATCTCGGTATGGTACAAATTTATTCTTACTCTTTCCAGAAGCTTGATCAGCCAAAGCAGATATAACGAGACCCAGCGTTGTCAATGATCTGAAGGTCAAATTTTCGATATTACAGTACAAAAGCCGCTTTTATTTCTAGAGAAAATTTATATCAAATCAATGACAAGACGCCAAGTTTCATCAACATAAAATATGTAACATTAACTTAACACAAAAGATATAAAAAGACATTAAAGAGGAGGATTGATTCATCTAACTTGTTGATATTGCTGCCTTCTTTCAACCTCTCCCCCATTGCTCCAGTCTTCTGAGCCCTCTCACTGCCAGCAAGATCCACCAAACTTATTTTACTCACTTTCTCTCCTGACACCTGTCGATAATAAAAACTAGTGAGAAGATTTTAATTAAACATTGTTTTGTACACAAACATCACATCAAATTAATCTCGCCTCCTATATTATTGAAAACAGAATGTTGAAAAAACTTGAACATGAAGAATGTAGTTACAACTATGCTGCCATCTCTAGCAAGTTGTTGCAACAAAATTTTTATTAAAAGTTTCAATCAGACAAACACTGTAAAATAAACTTTTGGATTTAAATTCGTATAAAATTGTGAATGATAATGAAACAATATATAGTAAAAAATCTACGAAGACTGAGTAGTAACTCGCAAATGGTTGAATTACAAATTCATCATTCATAATTTTATTTCATCCCAAGCAAGCCTGAATAAAAAACATAACACAACTATCCACTGAACTGACTCACATCAGCCTGCAGATTGATGAGTGTCTGAGTGAGTATGATGTTGAATACAGCATGCGACCTCGAACTTTCACTGTTCATGTTGGTGGCAGCCACAGTGCGCGATTTGTTGCCCTCACACATCAGAGTGTCAATGTCCTGTGTGTATGTTTTTGTTGCTGTGTCATTCAACCATTCAGTTAATTAATCACCGTTTAGTATAATTATGCAATGTATGCAAACTTACTTGCTACTTGATTAACGTAAAAATTATCACTGTTGAATAAATGATGCAATTACAAAATTATTTGCATAACTGTAGTGTACAGTACACCAAGAAGGTATCTAACAACCTCTACAAATTTTTGAATGCAAGTTTTAAACTATGAACGTTTACAGATTGAAATGATGAAAATACAATTAACCACTATATAGTTAGAACTATTTAAATGTAATCATACAGCACAGCATATCTGAGAAAAATTGTAACCTGGAATGAGGAGACAGCAAGCGTTGAGAGGCCGTCTACATAGGAGCCGAGGATGTTGTGCTCGCGAACTTTCAAATTTACACGTCTGTCGGTTGATGTTAGTGTTTGTTCTTATCCGCAAACTCTCAAAATGAAAATTGAAATTATGGTTTGAATAGAACACGAAGATGATTTACAGTTGCAAAACTCAATGTTACAGTTTCTCAAACCTTCAAAATCTGGTTAACTTTTCAAATTTATTCAGAAAAATTTTCAAATTATTTTGAAAGTTATAAAAATGAGGACAAAGTCGACAGTTCTACTCAACCATCTCCAGCATATAATAAATGGATGGCCTTATGATTACACACAAATTAGTAATTATCCTTTTAGGTCACTATTTTTAAATAGATGAATTTTTTTGAAATAATAAATCATTCAACTTAAAAGTTTAATTTTACAGATGAATGGCTGTTCTGCAGGTTATGGATTGTGACCGTAAGAAAAAATGAACACCACAATTTGAAAAATGTTTCTCCTCAAGATTCAACAATTTCATCGAGAAGTTAGTTAGTGGTTTACAAAATGTTGAATGTCCAATGGAATAATGATAAAAACAGTACAAAAGATAGTCATTTCAAACAACTCAACACTCATGAAATATATGAATATACATTTTTGTATGAAAAAATATAAATATATTTACATAACATTATCTAATTTATGTGACTAAAGCTATAAGTTGTGGAAAAACAATTGAGAAAGTTAACAAATACTTCAAAACAGTGCATGTAAAAAATATACCGTAACTATAAAGAACGAAATAAGCAGCAAAAAAAAATTAATAAAGGTGTTTTTTCCATGAATGATGAAACACTTCTTGTTCTTTTCCTTTGCAATTAGTGATTTTTACAAACGCATACCAATGATCAACAGAATACACGACAACAAATTTATAATAGCAATTAATAAGCTGATACAAGTTTACCACAAAGCAATAAAACATCAAGATAAAGAGAGAGAAACATCACATAACAAAAACGAAAAATAAACTTTGTATGCAATAAATATTTAGCGGTGGTAAAAAATTATTCAAAGCATAATGTTGTAGGCAAATAAAAATAATTAGACAATTTTCACGATGAATACAGGCAATGAGTTATTTTCTGGTGTTGGAACTTATAGGTGCACAACATTAGAGATTATATCCTTACCAAGACAATAAACAACATTCATTTAGAAACTGCCCTATTAGACATATCATATAACATATCAAACTGCTCGTTTAGATACATTGGTTGGATTAACTTTCTAACATTGCTTTTCTACAAAAATTATAATTGTTAAAATATATTAAATTTAATTATTAAAAATAGACAAAAAAATAATTTGAAATAAAAATTAAAAAACAGAAAATCAAACGACAAACAACAACTATTATTATTATTATTATTATTAAATAATAATTATTATTATTATAATTATGTCCTGGTTATGACATTAAACTGACCCTCACTGCCTTGTGAGTGATGTTGGATCATCAAAGGCTAGGCCCACCGCTTATAACTGTGGTTAGGTAATGAAGGGCGTCCTGCGTAAAAACTAGCCAAAAAAAATAATACTTATGATGACGGAAATAACAATGGCCCTCAGTATCCGGCAGAAGAGGGTGCAAAGAATCTCCGGAGACCCAGTCCATGGGGTTGTGGTGCAAGGCCCTGTGGATGGTCTGGCTACTGGCACCCCACTCTATAGTGTGGCGGTGCAAGGCACTATAGATGGAAGGACTACTTGTAGACCAAGGGGTTGGAGGTTTGGTACCTGGAATGTAGGCATGTTGACAGGAAGAAGTTTGGAAGTAGAGGAGGAGCTGCAGAGGAGAATGGTTGACGTGGCTGCATTACAGGAGATCAGATGGAAGGGTGAGGGTACAAGGTTTGTGGGGGCTAAAGGTGGAAGATATAAGTTGTGGTGGAAGGGGGATGATGGTACGGGAGGAGTTGGTGTGATGGTAAGAGAAGAGTTGGTGGAGAAGGTGTTGGAAGTGAGGCGGAGAAGCAATGGTGTAATTGTGGTGGTGATGGTGTTTGGAAAAGTAATAGTGAGGGTGATATCAGGATATGCTCCGCAACAAAGTAGGAAGGAAGAGGAGAAGGATAGGTTTTATGATGATGTTTCAGACGAGATTGGGCAAGCGGGGTTGGATGAGTTTGTGGTGTTGTTGGGTGATTTGAATGGTCATATGGAGGCGGATGCAGACGGATATGAAGGTGTACATGGGGGATGGGGATATGGTATACGGAATGAGGAAGGGCGTAGAGTGTTGGAGTTGGCGAATGCACATAGCATGGTGGTGGGGATTACCTGGTTTACAAGGGAACCAGCGCGATTGATTACATATAGGTCAGGGGAGCATAGGTCAATGATAGACTATATATTGGTAAGGGCCAAACATAGGAAGTATGTGAAGAATGTGAAGGCGATACCTGGTATGCTGCAGCATAGTATGGTTGTGATGGATGTGACATCAAAAGAAATGGGGAGGAGGAAGAAGGATAAGTTTGTGGCAAAGAGAAAGACATGGAAGTTGCAGGATGCAGAGGTGAGGAAGGCATTTGAAGTGAAAGTGGCTGAAAATTGGGAGAGTGGTAAGGATGGAGATGTTTGGGAGAGATACAGGGACTGTGTGTTGGCTACGGCAGATAAAGTCTGTGGATGGACGAAAGGAAAGTGTAGGCATGGTGAAACGTGGTGGTGGGATGAAGATATAAGAAGGGTTTTGGAGGTCAAGAAGGAGAGGTTTAGGGTATGGAGAAGGGACAT